CGTGGCTCTCAAACTTCAAACACCCCTCTCATCTCCCCCTGTTTCTGGGCCCTCATTTTGCTCTGTTAGGGTGGCCAGTGGAGAGTGATTTGTTCAGATCAATCTCGTTTTCCAGCATCCTCTACCTGCACGTTGAACTACTGAGCCAGCTACTGCTGCCTTGTCTCCTTTACTAAAACTGCTTCTGGGTTAAGCTCTTGTCAGTTTGCCACTGCTTTGTCTGCTCTTCTCTGTTTTGAAGGTGTTGAGGTCACTTCACTGAGCAATTCTTCTGTTCAGAGAGTCTACTTCAGTTTTCTGCACTTTGGGGGACAAAAACCACCATGATCATTACTCAAGGCTGAGTTGGGCCATCAGCTCAGACCTCCTCAGGCTTCAAGCCACTGGGGAAAGACCACCAAATTCAATGTCAGTAAGAGGCCTTCAGCCTGATTCAGGAATGAGACTTCCTATCTATCCTGACCCTCTGTGCCCCACAGCCCCACGGAGGACAAGGAAATCTAATTGCATGGCAACGTATTTATATTCTGATAAATGCATTTTGGTAGAAGTGAAGAATATTTACTGGTGTGAAGGACTTATGAACAAAACACTAAAAAGTAAAAATTCGGAGTCACCTCTTGGATGGCAGGTTATAGTGCTTTTCACACTCACCGGGGGTCTCATTTGCACTCATGGCTTCAGTCATTACCGCTGGGCAAAAGATCTCCTAAGCTGCATCTCCATCCTGACCTCTCTCCTGAGTCCCAGAGAACATTTTCAGTGAGCTTTTCTACCTGGATGACCCACAGTCATAGCATGTTGAAAACTAAACTAATTATCATTTCTCAAAGCCTGCCCCTCCCCAAGTGGTCCCCACCTCAGGGATGTGAGTTTATGACCAGCATAAACTCAGTCACTCAAGCCAGAAACCTGGAAGTACTTTTTGACTCTTCTCATCCTCTCAGCCATCCGTCCAATCAGTCACCACATCCTGAAGTGCTGCCACCTTAACTTCTCTGAAGTCTGTTAACGTCTCCTCTTCCCACTTCCACTGTCTCCATCCAGGCCACATCATGTCCCACCCAGAGTCCTTTTCTGGTCTCTAACTTGTCTCCTTGTCTTTACTCTGGCCTCCCTTCAATCCATTTGACTTCAGCACCTATAGTGATTCATCTGAATCACAAATCATGTTGCCTTTTTGTGTGAAAACTCTCAATAGCATTCCCTGGCCTTGGTTAAAATTTAACCCCCCTACTCTATTCCACAAGGCCTTCACAGTGCAGCTTCTACCCACCTCTCCAGCTCATCTCTTTTCACTCTTCCCTTTGAATGCTACATTCCAGCCATGTTCAACACATTTCTGCTCCTCACATATTTACAGGTCTTTGCAAATGTGGCCACCTTCTATCAGCTCCTCCTTCTTCTTCTTGTTATTGACATATGCAATGTAAAGTGCACATATCACATGTGAATAGCTCAGTGAATTGTCTCAAATGAGTCACCCATATAATATGTGCCCAGATCAAGACCTGGAGGACCAGTATTCCAGAAACCTCTTTCATGCCTCTTTTCACTACCCCCAAGAGAAACAACTACGCTGACTTCTAATAGCATAGACTAGTTTTTCCCACTTTTTTACTTATATAAATGAATACCTACAGAATTGTGTCAGATATCTCTTGCTATATAACAAGATGCCAATAAACTTAAATGGCCTAAAATAACCTAAAAGTCCCATCTTCAGCCTCATTACTCCTTGCAGCCATGCTCTATCACCTGCTTCATCACTAAGCGTCTTAAACACTGCCTCCACTCAGTGTCCACCTGTCCTCTCTGCCCATTTACTCTTCAGTCCACTGCGTCCATCCGGGTCATTCCACAGAAGTTGCTCTCATCAAAGGGCACCAGTTACGTCCTTACTGTTGAATCAAACGAACATTTTTTCAGTCTTTTCCTACTTGACACCCCCTGCTACCCACTCCTTAATTCGGTGAGTCACCAAATCCTAATGATTCTCTCTCTTTGACCCATTGTGTATTTGTCTTACTTCTATTTCCACTCATTACCTCTTGCCTGGACTAAGCCCTAAGCCATTCTTTCAGACTTACCATTCTGATATGGTTTTCCTTGATTAAAAATTTGGACTAGTTCACCATGCACCATGGAATAAAATCCAAACTGTAGCAAGGCAGGAAGATTCTTTAATCCATTGCCCCAACCTCCCTTTCCCTGCTCTTTGCCTAACACACACCTGTGCCTTGGCCACATTGAATCTGTAATCTCGTGAATTTGCCCTCTGAATTCTACTGGGAGATTCTCTCTTGCCTGGAATGCCTTTCAGCCTATTTTCCCCTGCAAATCTATTCATTCTTCATGTCATATCTCTAATGCTACCTCCTCTATAAAACCGTGCTGTTAACAGCTCCTCTTCTGATCCTGTTTGCTACTATTAATATTGATGCTGATAAATATTATAAGATGCTTGGCTCCCTTCCTCTAGAACATATGCTTTTTAGGGAAGGATCTTTGTTTTGTTCACTGATATATCCTGAGCTCCCAGAACTGTGCCTCACATATAGTAGGCACTCAGAAAACATTTGTTAAGTGAATGAATGGTTGACATTTATTGAGCACTTATGATGCCAGGCATTTTCACACTATCTCATTTCATCCTCACTACAGCCCTGTGAGGAAGAAACTATATTTATCCCAATCTTGCATGGGGGGAAACTGAAGCTTAATGAGATTAAGTAACTTGCCCAAGGCCACATTATTGATACATGACAAAGCCAGGACTTGAACACTGATTTGTTCAAGCCCTAAATAACCTCACTTCACCACCTTTGAGCTTTGTCTACCATGGTACTTTGCACAAAACTCTACTGTAGGTTACAGCAGGTTTTCAGCAAATGGAACTTTACCTTGAATACTGAAAATATTGCTTTACATATTTGTTTCTTCATTTATATTATGAGTTCTCTGAGACTAGGAAGTGAATACTAATTATTTTATTTCCCTACCACCACTACCAAAACCTCCAAACAGTCAGCATAGTGTCTTACACATATTTGTGTTCACTAAATGTTTATCGAATTAAATAAATGAGTGTGTTGTTAAGAGGCAGCATTTGGCAGAGTCCTTTTTGCACAATCAGTAATTTTGAGCATTGTCCTGTTGGTTGCTGTGAATTCAGGCCTAGCTGCTGCCTCTTCTAATCCTTTGCTTCTTCAGCACGATGTAGGCTCAGGGCCATCCCTGGCTGACCCGCCCACCACCCTGACCCCAGCCCTTTGCCATCCTTCCTGTCCTCATGACATTCCCCTGACGGTCTTCCTGCTGTCAGTGGCTTGATCACGCAAAGCAAGTTCTGCACCCCCCGCCCCCACTTCTTCTTGAGCCCATGCCCTGCTTGAACCTGGCTGCTTCCCTGGTCATTCTTGACAGTCAGGGCAACATGACATTTATATAGATAATTGGAACACAGTGCAGATTGCGATAAACCCAGAGAGAATCATGAGGCACTGCAGAAGTTATGAAGAAGGAGAAATTCCTAGTTAAATGATGGAGGAACGGAAAATAAATTAAGTCATTGTCTTTTTCATCCTGATAAAAAAAATTTTTTTTTAAATAGAGAGTTTAGCTTTTCTAGGTCTATCAACTATTTAGGATTGTCAATTGCACGTAATAGAAACTGGAGTGGTAGAAGTTTTCTGAAAGGGGAAGTTTATAATCAAGATACAGAGTCTCTAGAAACCCAAAACTTGGAATACAGCCAGGCCTCAGTGAAAGATGGAAGGAGGACTAGAAAATAGTACAGGATCTGGGCAGCATTCTCTTTTCAGATCTCACCCTTGTTGTCTGTATATCTGCCTCATTCTTGTCTCTCTGTGGATCTCTTAGTCCACAGACCTCAGTGTGGTACACGGCTGCCATTGGCTACTGAGTTTATACTTGGCAAGACGATTTCCATCAAAATCACAAATCCGCAGGAAGACATACCTGATTGGCCCAGTTCAAGTCAGGTGCCCACCCCTGGTCTAATCACCTGCTACCAACAGAGCAGGGTAATGTTGTTCAGTTATGGCTGTGCCAGCCACCTATCTCTGTTCAAGAGGAAGAAGCAGAAAGGATTGTTGTAAGCTGAGCAGACTCTCCAAAAATGTCCACAAGTCTTGCTTCTGTTGTCTGACAATGTCCTTGTGAAAGAATTCCGGGTGTTTCCCCAGAAATGGAACAAATTAAGAGGCTTTCTATCTTGGAGATTCTTTATCAAAAACAAATACATAAATATGAATTGCCGTTTAGCAAACATCACCCTAATTAGCTAAGATGATGTTCCTCTGGTCATTTTTAACAGTTTTTTTTTATGCCAATTTTGTTTATCAAAGGCCTAGAATCCTGGCCTGTGAGACCACAGCACAAAAGATAAACCCGGCTGGGCGTTGCTTCCTCCTCAAGGTCTCACGAATGATACCAGCACCTCCTCTGCAGCAACCACAACTCTCTCCTCTTCCTAATAAGTCAGTGTAATCAGGTCTGAGGAGACAGAATCTCCTCCCTTGGAGGGCGCCACACCCCAGCAAATTCCGAGAGAGATAACTTTGGCCACTGCTTCCTTAATGGGGTTTGAGATCAGGAGAGAGGGACTAGGATAGATCCTTTTTTTTCATTCTGATCTGGCCTTGCCCATCCAGTGATCTATATTTCCAAGGCTAGGTAAGAAAAATCTAAAAAATTTATCTACCTCAAAAGTGGGAATGCTGAAGTCAGGTTCCTCAAAGCTTCACTTACATCCATCCGTCCTGGGCTTGGCCCTCTAAGCACCACCACACTCCCTGCAGTTGGCCACCAGGGTTGACCCATGCTGCATGGGCCCCCAGAATTGGTGGTACAGTCCCAGGATGTGGTGAGGTGAGGTCAGAGCCCTATCCTGGGGTGTGACTTCATAACTCTTCTCAAGAGGCATGTTGCATTCCACCTACACCTTTTCAGTGACATCTCCCTGGCTTGTCTTCCAGGCTCCCTGGGTACAGCAGGACGTGTGTGCAACCTGACCTCCAGAGGCATGGACAGCTGTGAAGTCATGTGCTGCGGGAGAGGCTACGACACCTCCCACGTCACAAGGATGACCAAGTGTGAGTGTAAGTTCCACTGGTGCTGTGCCGTCCGCTGTCAGGACTGCCTGGAGGCCCTGGATGTGCACACGTGCAAGGCCCCTAAGAGCGCTGACTGGGCGGCTACCACATGACCATAGCAGAGGTCACCGTCCGCCTTCCCTCTCTCAAGAACTCCACTGGATCTGAAGGACACTGGGCCTTTGGGTTCTCTTGGGGAGATATTTCCTAAGGCATGTGGCCTTTGTCTCAACAGAAGCTCCTCCTCCCTCCCTGGAGGCCCCGGGACTGGGCCACATGCTGCACGCAGAGCAGGCCCTACTCTCTTCACTTCTGGTACTCTGGGGCACATCTCTGCCTGGTCACTAGAGGGGAGGGTGGGGGTGGGCCCAGATCACTGTCTCCACCCACCTAAAGGGTTCCTCTTTTGAGAGCATTTGGCCTGAGGGAGAAGGAGTGTCTCAAATGAGCTTTCTCTGTTTTTCAACAAATGATCAAGTTAAATTCCATACTTCTCTCTGGAGGGTAAAGTAAAGAAAGCAAGATGGACTGCCACTGAATTAACTTTAATTTTTGAAAAGACCAAGCAAGGCTTTTGCCCAGTCACGTGACTTCTACAGCCACTACTGCCAGGGCTAATTGGTAATCACCTGGAGAATGGTGGTTTTCAATAAACTTTAGGTTTAAAATGCATATATTTCAAGGCATTTATGACCATATTAAAATCTGATGTGACAAGGTGGGACTGTTGTCCTTTGGTACAGCAATAGCAAAAGCCTCAGAAAGTGATTGCTTTGCGTAACTGCCCCCTGATGTAAAGAACCTTTAGGTAATGAGACTTCTTTCTCACCTAGGATCTGAAGGGAGTTAAAAAGAAGATTGACAGTCTGGCAGTATTCTGTAACTATTGGGTAAAGATGGAGGAAAATAACTTAGTGAGTGATATATCAGAAAATGTGTCTGTACAGATAAGGAAAAGGGAGGGAGGGATAAAATTCCTATCTGGTATGATGCATGAGGCCTATGGAATTTTGTAGCTGAAACAATTTTGAGGATGAAAATTTTTGAGATAACAAGAGAAGGGAACCAAAATGCTGACAGAGAGATTTTCAGAGCTAAGTCATGCCTAGACAGCCTCTACCATGAGCAGCTGCCCAGAAGAAGTTGGCCATGTGTGCAGAGAAGTGTCAACTAGTACCTATCACCCTTCAAGCACATTTTAAAGACCTGTCATATGTTATTGTGTTCGTTTGTGCTTACATGATGACAAAATACCGTAGCCTAAAACAAATGACACATAGCCTTGCTTATAAAGTTGGTAACCCTAGTATGTTATACTACAAACAAATTGTAACTTGGAGACTATATTTAAGGGACCTAGCTATAATTATGGGAACATCAATATGCAAGTTGTGCTTGGCTTCTACCATGAGCTAAAAGATGACTTCCAAGGGAAATGGAGAGGCTGCCTGCCCCATTTTGTATATTACATGAAAGAAAGGTAAAATATATGAAGCTACTTCTCATCCGCTCCTACAATTAGGTTCTTGTTCAAAACGTGATCTCTTCACAGAGCTACACCGACTTACAGGATGTTTCATTACATGTATCTGATGTCAAATTATTAATGCTTGTTCTTTTTTTTCACTACTTTGGGCTTCAGTTTCTCTATCCTTGGTTTACAGCAAGACATTTAGACTGAGGCTTGTGGAAAACAACCTGCTGGAGTACTTTGTCATAACTGATATTTGACTCCTAGCCCTCTTAAAAATGACAGCATTCATCTCTTTGCCCTCATTCCCAAATCCCAAAATTAGTTGTCTAATTTTTCAAAGCGTCTCTTCCCTCTTTCAGTGGGTGGGAAAAGTGACGTGTAACGGTAGCTGCTCTGAGCTCAGCATGGGCCAGCAGGGGGTGGAAAGGCTGGGCAAATAGGCTTGGTCTTAGTTACACTGAAGCTTGCTGTGAATGCCTTCCTGGGAGGACGAAGGGACTTTCATGGGGTCCATAAGCCATCATGATGCATATATTTCAAGGCATTTATTGTCTCAACAGAAGCCCCTCCTCCCTCCCTGGAGGCCTACTGGATGAACTGTGAAAGTATAAATCTATGGGTATATTTACACATGGAAAGGATCTTAGAGGACATCTCAGCTCCCCTCAGTTTGTATCTGGGGAAACTGAGACCAAGAGAGGTGAAGGGGTTTTGCAAATAGCCATTACCCCAGTGTTTCATCACAAACAAGACCACACTCCAAGAATATTCAAGAAAATCAAGCACTTTATTAAATGAAACTAGTTTGTCTCAGAATCAACTTGATGGATTCTAAATATTAGCATCCAAAGGCAATGTTCATTTTTTCATTCCTAGGATGTTTAGATCTGACTTTCTTTTTACGCTGAAATGCATCCTTCCTGGTAAGGAGCAAGGGGACAAGGTACATCCATGTAGAAACCTACATAAATTGTTAATTTGTAAGGGAGTTTGGCAACCATCTCAAGTGGCAGTGGATGTGGCTGTTGCGGAGGGCATAATAGGAGAGTGAACATTTTTATCTTCTTTTACTTCTAAAAGAGGAAATCTCCATTATTTGAAAAAAATGGGGAAAAACGGTGAGGATAATTTCAAACTCAATTTCTTTAGGGGTTGGAGGAAGATGGATATTCCATGATTCTAAAATATACCAAATTTTTGACTATCTGAGGCTTTTAAGGGAATGCATGGCATGAATTACCCAAAACAGAATGAGAGAACCTATTTAGGTCAAATTCCCTTACAAATTCCCTCCCAATAAAAGTCTCCTTATAAAATGAGGTTTTTTAGGCCCAAGATGAAACTCATTAATTTTATGCAATATCCAAAAAAGTTCCACACAATACATCTTGACTAATCCACTGGAGTATTCCTCAATAAAGATAAAATCTGGACATGACTCTGAGATTTAGCAAATGTTTCCTTCAATAGATTTGCCTCCCTAAACTAGTCTGCATTGCCAACTAATCTTTGTCTGTATTCTGTGAACACACTTGTCAAAGTACATTCTAGTTACAGCCTCCTGGATAGCCCCTCATGCTCTGAAAACATTAATGCCTGCCTTAAGTGACCAGTTTACCCCCTCAAATGGCATAAGCTCAAGCACAAAATCCCCTAGTGCCATGACACTTGGCTCTGGCTCTGTGCCCTTCTGGGATGGGGGCCCTGGCATGTTAACCATAGATGCTTCAGGATGGAAGTAGAAGGGGCATAGGACACCCCAGAACACTGACAGTCTTAAACGGGTATCAACAGATTAAAATGAGCATCTCAGAAAGATCTGTCAAATGGCAATGTAGTGCATGGAGCCAGGTGAAGAAGTCAGGTGGCTTTCCCTAAGTGACCTGCTGAGCTTGGTGATGGCGGAGAGTGGCTTTTTCAGTTCTTATTGATAACTTTGATCCTTCCTTCAGCTGTTGCTTCTTCGTCCCCTCCAGCACCTGCTTCAGGGCCTCAGGACCTTGCCCACATCCTCCACACCTGTGATGCAGCTAGAGGCTGCCAACATTAATTTCAAGAGATGTTTTCAATTGTCACAACCATATTCCTTTTTACTGGCATTTTGTAGCTTGGGAACATCAGGTATTACATTTCTTTTTCAAAGACAGTAGCTTTAAAGTCAGAAAATCTACCTTGACATTGACATTTCTTGTCCTTACTAACTCGTTAAAGGATCTTGCATCGGCTCTAGGAGACCTAAAGGAAGCCGACCTCCCTCTCAGAAGCAGCCGACATGACTGTGCGTGTGCTGTGCTTGATGGCACTTTCAGGCCAGGATTTTGTTATTACTTCCCATTCATTGAAGGCTGGCCCTGGGGCTGGTGTTTTCTCGCTCAGCTGAAGAGCATTCATCTCACCTCTTGCCCACTCTCAAAATAAAGGCTCAGAGAGGCGTCCAATGGACCAGAACCATTCTTTCGTGTCTATTTACTGTACTGCCACCTGGGTTTCCTTATCTTAAGAGCAAGAGTTGTACTCTTAACAAATAGACTTCACCATTTCCAAAGCTGGTAAGTTGCTTTTGTCAGATCTGTGCCGACCTTCTGAAAAGCAATGCACTGGTGGAAGCTGACAGCTAAGGCGTGCTTATTCTGACCTTTTCCTTAACCAGGCAGAGAAAATTTTCACTCATCCATGAGAATGTTCTTTACATTTTTCTGTAGATCAGCAAGGTGACAGGTGGTTTGCAAAGCCCAACATGATCATTATTTTTCTAAATCATAGTTATTCCAACTCTAAGTTTTTTTCCCCCTGATATTCACTTGGATTCCTGTTTAACCAAACCTCCTACTTCCACAAGCTAATAAAAGTGTCATGCAGACTGTTACAAAGAACTATTGTTATTTACAAGTCTACATTTTCTGTAAAATCAAAACATAATAAAGTGAATTTTCAGTGTTGACTTTGTTATTTTAAACTTGTGATCATCTTGCCAATCCCTCTGCTGAAATGCAATCCCTGCAGGTTGTGGGAATTATACCCTTGTCTTTTCTCAGGACCATGCTTAACACAACCAGATCAAGAGATGTCTTTCAAGTTTGTAAAGATTTTCAAGGAAGGCCATTGACTTAGCTTGTTGATAACTACGCTCCTGAGTTAATGGGTAATACTTACATTCTGGATCAAGAAGTCGTTCCAGATCTCCGCCCTGTGTTCTCCTGTGGTTGCCGTGTAAGTTCTAGTGCCCCTCTTGGTCTCTCCACACCCGATGACTTCTCCGAATTATTGCTTTTCATGTGAGTGCTTGCTCTGCGCTGAAATGATATTTTCTCAGCTCGATTAAACACATACAATACCCCTCACCCTTTTATTGAGATCTGTGCATCCTGATTGTGTGCTGCTTATATACAAGTAGTGAAAGTTCAAAACACGGAAATAAACTCTCCCCTAGCAAAGGAGCTCCACCCCTGCTTTCTTCTCTCTGATGAACTATGTTTTGGGGTAACCTGCCTAAGCGAGGTGCTGATTCTGCACTTCAAGCACGCCTAGTGGTTCTACAGTCAGCTTCTCTAGGATTGTTTCTCTAGGATTCCACTGTTCTTTCCAGAAACTCCCATGCTGGATGATCCGAAGAAGAGGTGGTGTCACATGTGTCTGTGTGTGTCTGGCAAAGGGCATCTCCCCAAATACTTTTGCCCAAACGTTGTCAATGAAATTTCCCTGTTACCCAACCCTTTGGGTGAGTGGGCTGTCCTGTGCCTTGTGGGATCTTTAGAGGCAATTCTGGTCTCTACCCACTAAATGCCTGAAGTAACTCCCCTGTTTCCTGGTGCGACAACCAAAAGTATCTCCAGACATTGCCAAGTGTCCCTGGGGAGGGAAGGAGGCAGCAAGAGGAGAGCTTAAAACTATTCCTACTGTGAAGCACTGGAGTTAAGTCCTCTATTCAAATGCGAGCCATCTATATCCCTGCCATTTTCACTTAGAAACACCTCACTGGGAGTATTAGTTTAAGGAGATGAGTTCTCAGTGTTAGTGCATCAGACCAGCTGGGAAGGAATCTTTTGGAAAGGATATAGTCTTAGAACCCCTCAGGTCATGGGCAGAACGAGACAGGCTGAGACTTGAAGCTCACTTGGGCCACACTGCAGGTCCCCAGATGATGGGGAAGCATGAGGCTCCTGGGTTTCTGAGGTTGGGAATCAAATGAAGGATGGAAGTTTAGCAAAGAGAAACAATAATGTGGTTTTAGAAGCTGGCAGCAAA